CCTCCCTACTCCTTTCGTTTTATTCTTCCCAGCACAAATACCATCTACCAGCAATGCATGATAATAACAATAACACCACTGCTGTGCATGATGAAAACCTGCCCTCTGCGTGTGGCTTCTATAACACCTGTTCGCGTGATTGCCTTGTCAATCGATAGTTCTACTCGTCATCTCTTGGTCGGAATCGATAAGGCTATTCCTGATGTTTTCTTTGCAGTAGCTTTACCTGTGAGGGGTTAACGGGGGCGCTGAATAAGTCCTCCAAAAGGTTTCTAATGCAGGACTTGTAAATGTTATGGATAAGTCTCGCCGAGAATGTAGGCCAACGTTGGGTGTAAACAAACCCTCTCGTCCGGTTCGGAGTTGCTGATAATAATAATAATGAATGTCCACAGATTGGTTGTGTTGGTGTTTTATGTGGAGGTAATACTCACCGGGAATACACCTGACTCCATAATATCCGATGTAAAAAGGAGTGATTAAGAGACCTTTCAAAATATATATGTGTAAAGGAGTTATGGTTGCATGACCACCATATCGTTCTCCCAGAAATGAAATCCTGTTGATAAGTGAGCAGACAGTACAGTGAATACCATTTTCTTGGACGTGTAGTTGTCCCTAATAACCTGGAATGTACTGAAGACGTGCGATATGAATTATAAAAGAACTGGAATTTTGTAAACAAGACAGTGTACTTATAAGTCAGTGTAGCGAGAGTTGGAACATTGACACATTTCTACAGACCATTATACCTCGTTAGCATGAGCTGTGCACCGTGTAACAAAGATGACAGCAAACGGATAAATGTAATATTTATAGTAACGTCAATTGAATTGTTCGATATAAACAGTAGCTTGATGAGGTTCACTGGTGTTTGTCGTCCCGGGAATGCACTTAGCAACAACTTCGACACCACACCCTGCTCTTACCATGGAACAAGTACATTTTTCCCAAAGATAGTATTATGGGATATGTATATATATATTACTCTCAAAAGCAGAGCCAATTGATAGGAACGAATCCTTCACCAAGCGATCTAAAAGAATTATATAAAAAGGGAAACAGGGCTTATGACAATTTTTGTAACGTTGCAAAGGGAAAATGATTTTTATACGTGACGTCTTGCACGCTATGCTGTCAGGTATAAATAGAGAGCAAGAGTATTTGCACATTTTCTACAGACTCTTTCCTCATGTTAGTCTTTGTTTCAGTCGTATTTCTTCTATGCATTCTCTTCGCTCTTTTCTCTCTCTCTCTCTCTCTCTCTCTCTCTCTCTCTCTCTCTCTCTCTCTCTCTCTCTCTCTCTCTCTCTCTCTCTCTCTCTCTCTCTCTCTCTCTCTCTCTCTCTCTCTCTTCTCTCTCCTCTCTCTCTCTCTCTCTCTCCTCTTTTTTACAGTTTTTATTCACAGTATTTATGCGCATGTCTCTTTATCAATCTGTTGAAATATTCATCGCTAGACTTTCTTTTCTCTCAGTGAATTGTGCAAATCGGGATTATATTGATTATAGAAAGACAAAGAGTGTGATATATATTCACACGTCCGGAAGTATATTCTCTCTCGCGGGACGGTCCCAAGCCAGCGTGGACGGAAATCTTATTGGTGGCCACGTCGACACAAAATCCTACTTTGAAACAGTTAAGAGTTGTGATTGGTGATTGCGACTGCAGATGGTGCCACGGCTGAGAGGAAGGGAGGAGGGGGGCTATGGGAGGGGAGGGGGGTTGAGGGAAGGAGGAGGGGGGTTGAGGGGAAGGAGGGAGGGGGGTTGGGGTAGGAGGGAGGGAGAGGAGGGATGGGGGGAAGGTTGGGCAGGAGGGAAGGGATTGGGGTAGGAGGGAGGGAGAGGAGGGATGGGGGGAAGGGTTGGGGCGAGGAGGGAAGGGTTGGGGTAGGAGGAGAGAGAGGAGGGAAGGGGTTGGGGTAGGAGGGAGGAGAGGAGGGTTGGGAGAGGACGGATGGAGGGAAGGTTGAGGCAAGGAGGAAGGGGTTGGAGTAAGGAGGGAGGGAGGGTTGAGGCGAGGAATTAAGGGGGTGGAGTGGAGGAAGGGAGTGGAAGGGGCGCGTGGCTGGCAGTTTCCCAGCCCGGCGAGCGTCAATACCCACCAACGTGGGAGAGAATCGGCTGTGTCGCTTCCCCCGCCCGAGTGACCGTTCCTCCGGCGGCATCTCCAGCAGGTTTTTTTCCCTTTCATTTTCAGTGAGTGGGTACGTAAACAATGGCTTATTTATTAGTGAGGAATCGTACTAGGTTTTATGTCTTATCTAGGAGAGCATAGTGAAAACAAGATATTATGCGAGCAGGACTGTGAAAGAGAGAAAAGATTTATCCTGAAGGTCACAGGCGCTGGCGAAGGTCACCGTGAACGTAGGTCAAGGGCGGATAAACCAAATGGATATATATCTTTTTATCTTTTACATTGTTTTGCCTCGAATGGCACTGTGCTATTCGATTAAACATATTAACGAATCAATGAGGTGAAACTGTTGCCAAAATGCTTGTGATTCTATCGCTGCCTCCTCTTTCTACAAGACCGTATCTATCCGTTTATCTATCTATCTGTTTATCTATTATACACACTGTCAAAAAGTTACATGGAGCCTTCCGAATTCTTAACAGCAGACATGCACTTCAAAATTCTTCTTAAAAGACCAACCAAGCAACTTGTAGATCGATTCCAAATCTATTGTAAATCTAACACGCGCTATCTTTGAATCTGTCTTCGTTGCGTTTGCGTGTGCACGTAAGCCTTTGCGAGACTTGGCACCGTGCATACTTGTACTACACGTTTATTATATCATTATCATACGTGCGGATTACACGGTGTAGCATCTATCCATCCGTCTGTCTGTCAGTCTATCTATCTATCTACCTATATGCCTCTCTCTCTCTCTCTCTCTCTCTCTCTCTCTCTCTCTCTCTCTCTCTCTCTCTCTCTCTTCTCTCTCTCTCTCTCTCTCTCTCTCTCTTTCTCTCTCTCTCTCTCTCTCTCTCTCTCTCTCTCTATCTCTCTCTTTCTCTCTCCTCATCTCTTCTCTCTTCTCTCTCCTCTCTATATATATATATATTATATATTATATATTATATATATATAGTATATATATATATTCTCTCTAATGTCTGTCTCTGTCTTCTCTCTCTGTTCTCCTCTCTCTCTCTCTTCTCTCTATATATATATATATATATATATATAATATATATATATATTATATATATATATTTATCTTCTATTATCATTATCATTATATGTCTTTCCATTATATTAATTATTATTATTATATTTATTATTATGTCTATGTGTATGCTGTGTTCATCATCACTATTGTTCTTGCTGTTGTTCTTCTTTATCTTAGTGTTATCATCATTATTATTATTATAATTATTATTACTATTACTATTATGTTTATGTTTATCATCACCAATATCATTGTTGTTATTACTATTGTTATTATTGTTATTATCATTATCATTTTTATCATTATTATTATTGTTATTATTATTATTATTATTATTATTATCATTATTATTATTATTATCACATCAATAGTAGGCAGGTTTTGTTAAAGTAGAATATACAAGTAAAAATGTTTGTCTCAAGATTATGATTTATAGTTTGTTAATGTTAAGAGTAAAGTAAATGCTAAAATATTTTGCTTCAACATCATAAACATAAATAAACCGAATAAGCCACACCGCACAGCCCCGAGCCGTGCCCTTGACCTCAGCCCGAGCCGTGACCCTTGACCTCAGCCTGCCCTTGACCTCAGCCCGAGCGTGACCCTTGACCTCAGCCCCCCGAGCGTGCCCTTGACTCAGCCGTGCCCTTGACCTCAGAGCCGTGACCTTGACCTCTAGCCCCCGAGCCGTGACCCTTGACCCGAGCGTGCCCTTGACCTCAGCCCCGAGCCGTGCCCTTGACGCTTGCCCTTGACCTCAGCCCCCGAGCCGTGCCCTTGACCTCAGCCCCCGAGCCGTGCCCCTTGACCTCAGCCCCCGAGCCGTGACCCTTGACCTCAGCCCCGCCGTCCTGACTCAGCCCGAGCCGTGACCTTGACCTCCCCCGAGCGTGACCTTGACCAGCCCCCGAGCCGTGCCCCTTGACTCAGCCCACCCTTGAGCCCCCGAGCGTGCCCCTTGACCCTCAGCCCCCGAGCCGTCCCTTGACCTCAGCCCCGAGCCGTGACCCTTGACCTCAGCCCCGAGCCGTGACCTTGACCTCAGCCCCGAGCCGTGCCCCTTGACTTGCCCTTGACCTCACCCCGAGCCGTGACCCTTACCTCAGCCCCCGAGCCGTGACCCTTGACCTCAGCCCGAGCCGTGACCTTGACCTCAGCCCCCGAGCCGTGACCCTTGACCTCAGCCCCGACCGTGCCCGAGCCCGAGCCGTGACCCTTGACTCAGCCCCCGAGCCGTGCCCTTGACCTCAGCCCCGAGCCGTGCCCCTTGACCTCAGCCCCGAGCCGTGCCCCCTTGACCTCAGCCCCCAGCCGTGCCCTTGACCTCAGCCCCCGAGCCGTGACCCTTGACCCCGAGCCGTGACAGCCCCCGAGCCGTGCCTTGACCTCAGCCCCGAGCCGTGCCCCCTTGACCTCAGCCCCCGAGCCGTGACCCTTGACCTCAGCCCCGAAGCCGTGCCCCTTGACCTCAGCCCCGAGCCGTGCCCCTTGACCTCAGCCCCCGAGCCGTTTGCCCTTGACCTCAGCCCCCGAGCCGTGCCCCTTGACCTCAGCCCCGAGCCGTGACCCTTGCCTCAGCCCCCCGAGCCGTGACCCCCCGACCTCAGCCCCCCGAGCCGTGACCCTTGACCTCAGCCCCCGAGCCGTGCCCTGAGCCCCTTTGACCTCAGCCCCCGAGCCGTGCCCCTGACCTCAGCCCCCGAGCCGTTGACCTCAGCCCCCGAGCCGTGCCCCTTGACCTCAGCCCCCGAGCCGTGCCCCTTTGACCTCAGCCCCCGAGCCGTGACCCTTGACCTCAGCCCCCGAGCCGTGCCCCTTGACCT